CCTCGGGGAGCCCCGCTGCGAGCGGCCACGGCGAGGCCACGGCGACCGGGCATTTTGTTAATGTGTGCCTCAGCCGGGTGGATGGATGTATCGTACGCCTTTTCTCCGTTGGCGAGCCGGACCTCACGCCTGCCTGCGTGTCATTTCTGCGGAGGAGGAGCGCAGCCTGGGAGGCGAAGATGACTCCCCGCTGGATGGAGTTGGAATCGGTCGTGCTTGTGGTGCATGTATTTCTGGAAACGGGCGCTCGCCGCCGACTTGCTTTTCGCTGGCGGTGGCTTTGAGTCTTCCCTTCGGGTCTGGATGAGGCCTGTAGGCGACGCTGTGCGAGCGAGGAGCAGCTGCGGCGGAGCCGAGTCGGGCCTGCGCCCGGCGGTGGGTGGAGCCGCGAGCCGGGCCTGGGCCGCTGCCGCGGGGGCCGCGCTTGCTCGGCGCGTGGAAATCGAGGAACTGGACGCGGCTGGAGTGCGAACCGTGGTCCGCACCGTGCCAGGCCCCGGTGGTAGCTCAATGTAAAACAAGGGAGTGGTCTCAGCGGTCTCGGGGCTCTAAAGGTTATTTGTGTAAACGAGAAGGTGCTATCCTTCAGGTAAAAGGTGCACTAGGTAAGCAGATTCTCTTCCAACAGGCCGTCGTTTGTGTTCCTCTAGTCGCCCTTAATTGTATTGTGCGTATGCCCGTGTCAGTGTGCTAAACCTGGGGGAAGACTTGGCGAAGGTTATTCCCTTGCCCCGGAAATCTCCGAAGGGGCCGAGACCTTTGCTGCAGACCCGGCCTTGGGTTCCTACGGCGACCCAAGTGGGGTAAAACCCGAAGCCTTGACTTTGGCCGGGGGGCGGAGTGATGGTGGTGAAGGGGTGAGGGCTCTACTCGGCTCCTTCCCCCAGCATGCAAAGCGTGCTGCCTGAGAGTTTTGCTCATTTGTCTGCTCGGTGTTTCTTTCCATAGCCACAATTTAAACTGCAAATTCCCTGCTTTCTTTCTCATTTTATCCCTTGGATATTCCGCATATCTTTCTTATCCTTTTCTCCTTCCGTAGCAGAATGTAACCTCCAGGACGACAAAAGGGTTCCTTTCTGTCTACTGGTGTTCTGTCCTGCCGCTAGTGCCATAAGGTTGGTGTCTGGACACCCTCTCCCCTCCCATTTCTAACTATCCTTCAGTATGTGCTGGAGTGTGCCTAACATGTTTATATGCCACAACTTCATGAAAGGAGGGGAAACTGGAAAAATGCAAGTTTGTTCCCGAGTTTTGGAAGAAAAGATCACTTCTAGACTTTTGAAAGTCCACAAGAAGTAGTATTTTTTGTTTTTAAGTTTCTGAAAAAGGGCAAGCGGGAGTGCCATAGTTTAGTGGATCATATGATCATATCCGTAGTAGAATGAGTCATTTTGCTTTCTTTATCCTGTCCTTCCCCCCAAATACACGATATTTTCAATGAACTGGAGTCCAAAGATTTGGTTGGCTCTGCCAAAATCGAACACCGCTGGAAGAGTTCATTGACCTTATTGTGCACAAACTTAGTAGGCACAGTGGTTCAAAGGATTTTGGGTGTACAGCTAGGCCTTACCTATAGGGCTACATATGACTACAGATTACTTACTTATGCTGTTGAGCAAAGCAAAAGCTAGATTTAGTTTTACAGTTTTCTTCTGAAGGAAAGGTTCATTGAAAGTTGAGATCAGGCTTAGTGTGGATCTTAATTCACCATCTGATTTGCTGTTTCTTTACATTTACCTACCTTGTGACAGCATTTAGTGTACCAATAAGTTGAAAATGACTTTTTTAAACTATAAAATGAAGGTGAGAAATATTTCCTGGTGACTGGCAAAGTATCCTTTTAAATTAAAATAAGTATATCAGTACATTAGAAGCTGTATACTAACCCTTCAGCTATATTATGCTATTACACATTTTAATATTTCATTTACTGGATTTTTGTGCACAAGTCTTTATTTTAAAACCACTAATAACAATTAAACATTGTTTAGTAAATCCAGTACTGTATTTATTACAGGTTTACTCATTAATTTTAAGAACAGACTTAAGTAACATACAGATTACTCAGAATATATTGTTCCGTGTTTCAAAATAGCAACATTTCAGGTGGCTTATGCAAGGACAATTATCTTCCTGTATACTTAAATGTTACTGGTAGACTAGTAATTTTGTGTGTAACTGGTACACTATGGTGGGGAAAGTCCTGGCATTACTGCAGAAGTTAATTTTTTAATTTAAATTTTTATGTTTTTCAGTGATTTAAATACATATTGAGAATTTACTAGGTGCTAATCAATGAAAACAGACAAGGCAACTGTCTTTATTTGTATATAGTTTATACCAGTTTTTCCCTCCAGTATCCAGTTAAATTGTTTCAATGCATATCAGTATTTCCCCATTAAATCAATATTTTCTTTGCTGAAGTTTGAAATTTAGGCAACCTTCAAGACAAATTGAGGTCTTACATAGAATCAGTTATCATATTTTATTGATTTCCTTGTGTCCCCACCCCCCTTTTTTTTTTAGACTATTGGTGCTAATACCATCAGTTTGTTTTACACTTTTAAAACCCTTACGTACAAAACCAGTTGACTTTAGTGGCCTTATATTTCATTGTTATATCCTTGTCAATTTTTGTGTGGAAAGTAGCCCAGTAAATCTTTTGTAATAAGACTGCCTCCTTGCTTTAAGGCATGAGCTGCAAGACTCAGTTTTATTTGCTAAGAATATTTTTGGATATTTTCATATGTGGTTTTGAACAATGAATTGCAGATTTAATTTTTAAATGAATTTTAAATATTAACTATTTGTATTAAATACCATTACAAAAATTAGTACAGACGTTTTATGAATTATTTTTATTGAAGAATATTTGTCTTAAAGATAAGTGCAATTTGCCATAAAGTGATGGGAATTTTAAAAAGCGTAGAAAGTCATCTCATCATACTTGTTATTCTTTCTTGTTAGTGATAAAATTATCTGTAAGAGGAAATAAGTTTTAAAAGAAAAATACCAAAAGATACTGTATAAATGTTTTATAAGTTTTAAACTATCAAAATTATTTCATGTTTAGGAAAAATTACTTTTAAGATGACAAACATTTGTGAGTTAAGGATGCTGATTTTGAAGTAAGAACTATACAGTTATCAGATGATTTAACAATCTGTAAATATGTTGTTTCAAGTTTTTTAAAATACCTTAATCAAATTTACAATAGTGTTTATGAAGCTTACTCAATGTATTTGGTCCATTTTTGTTTATAGAGTCCAGAAGTGAATTTTTTTCCTATGAATGTCTTTATTCATTTTGGCCTATTCTGGTCTTTGAAAATAAGCTTTAATACCAGCTTTGGTGGTGCACAGCTGTAATTCCAGCACTTGGAAGGCTGAGGCAGGAGAATCATCTCAATTATGAGGCTAGCCTGGCTACATAATTGAGTTCAAGGCCAGCATATACAACATAGTGAGATCCTGTCTCAAACAAACAATAAGTTTTATCCTTTTATTAATTTTCTGACCTATAATTAAGAATTTTCTCTACTTTTATCAATTTTTTTTGATCCATGCTGTTCATTTATAGTCCCATGACTTAACTATGTTTGTTTTTGTGTAACTTATGTTTCTAAGTCAGAGTAACCAGTTAACATGTTATATAAGTTTCACTGAGCAAGGCATAGGATAGGGCCTTCAATGAAATGTATTTCTGAAATATGATTTCAATATAAAGTTATTGAAGGCCATAAATCTTCATGATAGCATAATCTTCATGGAACCTACACATATGCTGGATCTGAACCAGAAAGTTAAAACTATACATGCATTTTAATACCAAATTGTTCTAGACAAACATCAGTTCAAAAATGGTTTTAATACAAAATTTATTAAAAACTTAAGAGATCTACAGTTGGTATGAAAGAAGCTTATGATGCTCATTTTAACTGATCTTTCACATCAACTTGTCAAAGCATCTGTTCAGTATCAGTATTGTTATATGTCATACATCATGAAATTAGGGGGTTTTCTAGCATCTTGTGTTTAAAATATTGAAAATAAAAAATTTGAGTACATCACATACAGTAAAGATACAATATTAAATAAACATTTTATGTGTGTGCTACATGTGCTGAGTTACCTTGAAAATACATTTCTTACTGTGAAGTATAGGCAAAATGTGATTTTTTAAAAAAAAATCTACAGTTCAAATATTCTTTTATTTCCATCTTAGAAAATGAAAACAAGAATGTTAGAAATTTCTGATTTTAGAGGCGGCACCAGGATGTTTTAGGGATTTGACACTAGTTTTGAAAAGGTAATCTAGGAAAGAAAGTATGTTGATTAAAAATGTCAAACATGGGTAAAGTTAGGAGAAATTACTTTCCTAGTAGATCTAAATTTGGTATATTTAGACTATGATTATTGTTGATCTATTGGAGCATATTGTTTCTTTTTCTTCACAGCTTCCCTGCAATTTTAAGACAAGTGTTTATTAATTAGTTGAAGGAAAGCACAGCAAATGACCAACTTTTACAGAGTAATTATAAAAACAAGTTACTCTGTGCTCGCTTCAGCAGCACAC